GGTCACAGAGATGGCAGGAGGAGGCGATGTAGGCGTGGCGGGGACCCAGGCATCCTTCAAAGATGTCGTGCCGGTCGAAGCTCAGCATTTAGCCGGTCTTGCAGGACGGGCACAGGCAGATGGTGCTGGTGCTGGACATTGTGTTCTTGTAAAAAACAGTGCCGGTTGCTTGCTGAAGAAAAATGGGAGCCGATTACCCGGTCTCACAGTAATTTATACTGACCGGGTGAGGCCCACACAGCAGGTAGGCGTGGACTAAACTTTTCAGTGCTGCGCTTCGTGCTACGGGATGAAACCCACCAGCAACAGCCTTAAAGGGCGAAGCCTATACAAAATAGAACTTTGTTTTCACAAAGATCACCTCCCTTTCCTGTCAGCTTGTAAAATGGAAGTGTAGGTTGAAGGAGAGAACCTGAGACTGGGCTAAAGTTTTAACCCCATGTTGATGGAGCAGCATTTTGCCTTTAGGTAGTTTCTCAATGGGCTGCAACTGCTGAAGACTAGTTGGCATCTCAAAGGTGCAAGAGCATTTCAGTTTGTTGCATTCTCACTGAAATCTCTGTTATTTTTTACAACTAAGTAACCAGCGAGCCCTGTGGCTGCATTTTGTGCAACTGGTTTTTGAAAATCAAAGCGTATTACTGTATGCTATATTTTTACTGAAACTTTTTACTTTTGGACATTTGTTATGATGCGTAACCATGACAACAAGGTGGCTTTTACAACCAGGAGCAGCTGATTAACATCTCAAAAGTTCAAATAATGTCTCAACTACAGCCCCAAATCTCAAATGGGTTAAAAAGGAGGTTCCGTGGATGCATTCCTGTCTACCTGCTGGCTGTGCTCGAATGCCTGACCACTGAGATCCTGGAACTGGCTCGTGACAGCAGAAGGACTGGGATCATCCCCCGGTACCTGCAGCTTGCTGTCCGCAGCGACAAGGAGCTCGGCAGGCCGCTGGGAGGAGTGGCCATCGCTCTGGGAGGAGTTCTGCCTGGCATTCGGGCGGTCCTGCAGACCAAGGGGACCAGAGGCCAGCTGAGTCTGGATTAATGAATCGGACGCCATCTGCGGCCATTTTCTTTTTCTTTGGATCCGTTGTGCAATGGACCTTTACACGAGATCCTTCTTGCCTACAGCCATCAGTATCTATAACATCTCTTAATGAAATGAGGATAACGAGTTACAACAACATTTAATTTCCCTTTGGGATTAATAAAGTATTTTTGAATTGAATTGAATTGAATTGTATTCTAGGACATGCACATTTTCTTGTTGCCCATCTCTAGCCACATCTTACCCTTCTCAGTCCAATTTGTACCTGCCTTGGCAGACTCCCTTTTGGTTTGATCTACTGCACTACACTTTTGAAATGAATGACAGATTTGTTCCAGTTTTTCCATAATTCTTTATCATCAGTGTAACTTTTACACCTGAAAATATTTTCCATCAGAGGAGAACTTCTGTGGAAGCCTCAAGATACAGATCTAGAGCTCCAGAGACAGGTTGTAGACAATCACAACAAAGTTTAGACAGGTCTAAGACAACTGCAGTGGCTGTCGCCTGAGAGAAAATTTGGTTTTACTCTTTTTATTGACAACACAATCTACAGCCTATTGTTTGTGGCAACCCACAAAATCTGCTAAAGTAGAATCAACAGTTCCACTTGACAGCGTGAGGAGGGGCTGGATGTTTTAATAGAATTGGACAATGTGCTCTGTGTTTTTGTTTCATGGTTCAGTCTGACCCACAGCTGTTTTGATATTTGCAAAGGAAAGTGTTTGGACCCCACACTTAGTAGATAATAATTCCTAAAGAATGCTGTGTATCTATGTTATCCGGCTATTTTTGTACTGGTTTTAATAGTATAAAAAAGTGGGAGTCCCTTTTTGCTTTAGTGTTAGAGGGAAATTCCTTTTAGTTGGTAAGTGAGTAGCACAAGTTTGTTCTTAGGTCAGCAAAATGTGAGGGCTGGTCTGCAGAATCTGGGGCATCGGACGGGCCTGACATAAACCAGACTGCACTTCACAAACAAGAAGAAGAAAAGAAGACATGACAAAATAAAGGCGGGTTGGACTGAACTCCGTTTAATTGCTGAGTTCAGAGTCTGCGTGTCAGAAAGTTGTTTACCGTCTCTTTTGCTTTTACAATATTATCCTCAGGTGCTGCCAATCACATCAGGAAGAAAAAAAAATCCAAGATAAAACGGTGCTTGCTCTTTTTCTTCTTCACTTTATTAAAATATTTTCAGTATTTATGAGACGTAGTCATGTTTTCACGTTTAATCAGTCTTTTTAATAAAAGGCCAGAAGGGAAAGAAGGAGAAAATAATGTGCTGTGCAGATCATATCACGCAGCTGCGTTTGGTGAGGAGTGAGTCATGCTTTAGATTTCCCTGTGTTTTTGGAGCACAGGCACTTACTTGGAAAATATCATGCACACACCCTAAAAACAAACAACAATGACCCTGCATGTTGATATCACTGACTCCACACAACCAGGACCCTCCTACGCCCACTTTTTTATTTACACAACGCCCTAATAGAGATCTACCAGCCGTGAAGTGCGTTGAACCAGGATCTCACTTCTTTTTTTCTTTTCATGTTATTCAAACACAATGTCTGGTACTATGATAAATAGATACTAGATTTATTCAGATACTAAGTGGTCCAAACATCCAGGAATGGACTGGAAAGAACCACGAGACAACTCTGGCAGCCTCCCATTGACAACCATTGAGCTGAGCATTAATTAATATGGTAATGATGTGTGAAGGTTCATTAACAAGCCGCCACAGAAGTAGCAGCAGATACAGTATTAAGCATGCTTAGAGTAATTAATGGAATAACTTTACTTAGTGGTAAATATTCATGGGCCCTCGTGTTTTTTGTCTGCTCAGTGTGAAGAGAGCGGCCAGCCCGTCCATTAGAGGAGCTGAAGAGCCGTCCACAATGAATGCAGGCTTTTTGTTGGGATTGGGTACATTTCAGTGGAGGGGTATTAATTCATATTTTGAACATGCAATCTTTCAACAAAGCCAAAGGCACTGATAACATACCTGGGCCTAGAGAGCATATTGTGAAGCTGCGACCCCATCACTAATAGTAAGTCCACTTCACAGGTTTGTGGACAGAATACAATGAGTCTGTTCCCGCTCAGATGGCGCCACGGCGCTTCATTACCATAGCAAAAAAACCCTTCTGATTTTACATTCCCACTGAAAACAGGCAGTTTGTGTGTGTGTTTTCCCCTCACTGCTCCAAAGACTCGTGGTATTTGCATAGAGAACAGAAAACACGTGGCTCATCAGATCTTTTACAGGTGTTACTAATGCTTGGTTATCTACAGTTGTAGCTGCTAAAATGTAGTTCTTTGTCAGAAGTCATTTGTTTTTCTATTTTCCACTTTATTTAACACAGCAGACGTAAAGCTTCAGCTGAAGAGTCGACACGAGAAGCTTGGGAAATGCTCCTCGGCTTCTTTTGTCTTTTGAATTTGTCGCGTTTTGATTCATATTCTTGGCTCGGACCTCTTACTGAGCACGCACATAACCCACCCAGGTGGGTAATTATCTCAACCAGGAGTTGCTCTATTCCCTAAAATCTCAACGCAGGAGTGTGTGATGGGCTCGGCTGTACCCAGCCGGGCGAAGCAGCGTGCACTTGTTTATCCTCACCCTGCGAGCTGCGCACCCCCACTGTTCTAAATGGCAATATCACCGCCTTGTGCTGTTTGAAATGGAGACAATTATCTGTTTAGGTAGTACAAGATGGGCATTATATTACAAGGAAAGGCGTACAGCTGCTATCATGAGCCTGTTGTTGGCTTTTCTCACCATTTCAAGTGCTCCGTCGTTAAAATGATGGAACATTTATCTAAATGGATGTTGTGCGTTGGGTAAACTCATTTAGCTCCCGGGGCTCTTTCAGGTGATGGGAATTAATGGTGTTTAGTAGTTTGAAACTGAAAATATCTGTCATTTGTCAGCACTCGCCATTGATTTACGATTCCATTGATGATTTGTTAATTGAAGTGTAATGAATCACCATAATAGGGTAGTTATATGGGGACAGTCCATTTTGGCTGGTGTTGACTTCTGTTTTCAACAAGGGCGTTTAAATCCTAATTAATGCTGAAACTCAACAAGCTGGGCCCGGACGGTTATTTTATTTTATTTTATTTTTATTCACTCTGCTTCAGATACTCTCGTTCAAACGCCTGGCCACAGTTTTGACTGCCAAATGTAAATGGCAAAATAAGAACAGTAGGGAAAAAAGCGTTTATTTTTTCTTTATATTTGGATACGCTTTAATGCTTTTATTCAAATTCACCTGTGATAGTGGCCCACAGTCACTTCTCCGTTTAGCATAAAAATAAGATTTTCTTTCCTTCTCTTCTTTTTGGCCCCCCCATCTTCCTTTTCGGGGTTGACTGCTCCGTTTGGGAAGCTTTGTGCATGCAGATCAGGGCCACCCAGGGGAGTTGGGTCAGGCGCAGGTACAGACGGTGTGTTTACCAGCAGGGGGACGGGGCGAGAAGAGCATCTACTAATACGAGAAGTGTTTTTGTCTTGCAAATAAACCTCACAGTCACAGCCCTATTGTTCCTGCGTTATCATCAGTGGGTGTAGTTCTCGTTAACAGACGGATGGAAACGTGAGGATGTGTTGCACAGGGACAATGGTCGGCTGCAGGAAGATCAGCCAAAGGTGTCCTCTGCCCTGCTCAGAGCTGAAATGGTGCCGTTCACGTCCCTAGCAGCTGCACACAGTCTGGTCCAGCTGCATGCAGACAGAGGAAAGGCAAACTGCACAGGAATGCAGAGAAATGATTTATTTCTGATGATTTCTCAGAACATTTTAGACTGGATATGTACTGGTACCACACCACGCCTGATCAGTGGCAGCTGGTGGTCACTTTAGGTTTACACTCATGTGTAGTAGCTGCTGATGATAAGCATGTTAATTATTTCATAACTAAATGTGTGTTTTGTGTCTGCAGGGTGAGGAGGTTGTTTCACCACCGCTGGAACTGGAGATTGCTTTGAATCAGTTCTTGTAGAAGGTAAACACACAATCATTCACCAGCTCTGCATGTGTGTGAATGCTCAATTGAATTGGCTTAATAATTAACTAAACGCTGCGAGGTTTTCTTGTCCATGTACTGAACTGTGTGTGTGCATGTGTGCACGAGGCCAGGAGGGTGATCGGGGGGTCTGGACAGGTGCACCCTGTTAGTCTTTTTGACAAGCGGCTTTTCTGGAACCAGCATGGTGAGTAGGAGAGGGACAGATCCCCCGCAGGTGTGAGTGGACGTCGGTGTTCTGACGAGCAGTTTAGGAAGAGGCTGACGCTGCAGAGAGCGAGGAGCTGTGAGGACATGTTAGCAGCTGCTCAACTTACAGAAGCTCTCTGCTCACATAAGATCCCCGTTTACTAAACGAGAACGGATCCCATCAGAGCCCGTACGGTCGGTTTGGTTGGAACACCGAGCATCCTGCTTGATGCCTCCTGTTTGTCTTTACATGAAGCTTTGTTTCAGAGAAAGATTTAGAATGTGAACTCTTGACTGGACTCAGCTGAGGGAAGTGGTTTGTGTGTGTGTGTGTGTGTGTGTGTGTAAAAGTCTTTATTTTTACAGAGTTCTCTGTCAGTCGTGCTCTTCTTGAACTTGCTGGTTGTTAGTCACACACGACTGTGTACTGTAGTCCCTCGTTTATCACGGGGGATCCGTACCCTGAAGACCCGTGATAAGTGAAAAACCACGAAGTAGGAATAGTAGTACAAGTAG